ATCTTCATAAACCCTGTCAAATACTTGATCGAAACGTTTATCAAGAGTTTGATCAAAATCTTCAACAAATGTAGAAGTGTGGGGATAAGTAGATCGAGACATGTTATCTTTGTTTGTTAATTTGAAAAAGATCGAGAGTTGGAATTTTTGTTATAAAGAGAAAAGGAACTTCTCTTTATAAAGAATTGTAAATGGAATAAAGAAGATGATTTGACCAGATGTATTATTTGAAGATGGAGAAGCTATTCGTTGGAACAAATAAGAGCAAGTGAATGGAGAAGATGGAGAAGATATTCGGTGGAACAAATAAGAGAGGAATGGAGAAGATGTATTATTTGTACTTGTTTGATATAAGAGTTTTCAAATGAAGAGAACATACTATCTCTTTAGTTGTAATAAAAATCCAAATTCTTTAACAGAGAAGAAAGAAATTAAAGAGTTTGCAACCACATAAAAACAAGTACAATACAACCAAAGACATTACAACCACAAATACTTCAACTAGTTGTACAATACAACCAAAGAAACAGATTAAACAACTTGAGCTAAAAAACAAGCCAACTAGTTCTTGTGATGCTAACCGACAATTTTTGTAGTCACTTCCTCCTGCACATTGCAAGTGAGACAACAAGTCAATAACCAACCAATACAACTAGTTCGCTCATTCTTATAACAATAAAACAATAGAACTAGTTCACTCATTCTATTATACAATGTCAAAAAGACCACAGTTACAAACTGATACAATTAGTAAACAAACCAAACCAGCCTCCTAAAGTCATTACACTAAGAAGGCCATTTACACAAAGCACAAACCAACATAGCATTCAAAATCAAAAAACAGAAGATAAGGATTTATCACAATCAAATAAGATTGAGTACGCATATCATGAGTCACACAGTATATCAGTTCTTGTGATGACCAAATAATTCAGCTAAAAGACATAACTAATATCAGTTCTTGTGATACTAACCGACAGTTCTTGTAGCCACTTTCTCTTGCACATTGTAAGATTGCACAAATCAGTTATTAGATTAACAAAATGAAACACACAAATAAAAACGAGACTAACAAACAATGAAGAGTATCTAAACAATAATGCAAAAGAACACAATCAATAATTACCT